TGGGTTGTTTTTCCCCCGCCACACAGAAGAGTCCTTTGCTACCTTGTCAACAGTCCTAGTGAGCTAAAAATAACCATGTGATTTCAGTATATACAGAGAAATCCACTGAGTAAGTACATGTAATTTGCTGTAAACAATGTTAAGGATAAAAAACACCTCATAAGATTATGGATGAAAATGTACTAGAAAATACAAATTTAAAGATAAAAAGTTAAATAAGGAACTATACATCATTATTTTCCTTCAAGATGGCTATGTTAATATATTCATGAATCTTCAGTCTAAGGTACAAGTACTTTACTGTTAAAATATCATTCACGTTCCAATGTTTTAAAATAAACGAAATATTAAAACTTTAAAGGTATAAACTAAAAAGATTCAGATAGCAGCTGATTTCAAATAGATTAAAACTAGCCTTTGCTGACTTACTTATTTCAGTCTTGGATAGGATGGCCCTGAACCTATAACTCCTGTCTCAGCCTTCCTGAATTAAGGGTGTATGTCACCATGCCTACCTAGTTTGGATCAGTAATTAGGAGACATAGGCTTTAAGGTATTCTGCTTCTGGTGTGATCTATAAACCAGTCTTAGAAGGAAAACATGGTTTTTTTTGTTTTGTTTTTTTGGCTTGTTTTGTTTTGTTTTTAGAGGCTGGGTTTCTCTGTGGTTTTGGAGCCTGTCCTGGAACTAGCTCTTGTAGACCAGGCTGGTCTTGAATTCACAGAGATCCGCCTGCCTCTGCCTCCCGAGTGCGTGCACCACCACTGGCTGGCTAAGGAAGACCTAGGTTTTAAAGCAGTTGCTTTACCTTTCTTGGGGCACTGCAAACCAGTATTCATGCTTCTTATCTCTCTGTGCATACTGTTGCATCGTAGCGCTGGCTTGAGATACAAATGTTTTCCTCATTGGTTTTCCAACTCGGAGACATAGGAATTTGTGTAATCGATGCCTTCTCTTATCCTTTAGAAGTGAAGAGCCTAAGAAGGGAGGTGTAAACAGGATCCATTAAGTCACAGAGCGAACTCAAGTGCCTTAGATGAAGTGACCTTACAGTGTGGTTCCTAATTACAAAATAACGCATTTTACCGGTTCTCAGGCATATTCACTTAGCTAACTTCTATTTTTTTTTGGGGGGGGCATGGAAAATATAGTTACTGAAACAACAAGATTAAATGAAAGAGCCAAGTTAGTGAACTAAAATTTTTTCGAGGGCTATTAGGAGGAAATGAAAAATTTCAGATAGTTTTCAGTAAGTTGTTAATAACAGCTATGCTGAACTGCATATGTTAAATGTTCTGCAGATTCTGTTATATTTTACAAATCACATCTAAATAAGTATCCAAAATTTCTAAATGGTTATTTTAACATGGCTATTCATGTTAAAATGAAATCTCTAGTCGTTACATACATACAAAGGTGTGAGAAATTAATAATATTCTACTTGCTGCAAAGCAATGTTAGGACAGTTAATTACGTCTAAATTACCTCCCATCAGAGACATAAATTACTTGGAGTCTGACGGTAGAATAAGTCCAAGAACATGGACATTAATTAGCCTGTTTCAGCAGCAGCTCTTGGAGGAAAGGGCCCTTGTAGAAGTGTCCCCACCCACACAGTACTGTACAAAGTGCACAACCTATGTGCCCTGCGTTAGTTAAGAGGAGGAGCATTCGCCCTTCTTATTCTTTCCATTATTGTATCCTACAGTTTAATATTTACTACAATGCTTCATCTCATGAAGCAGTAAAATTCAAAAAGCTTTAATATTTCCACATTACACACTATCGATACTAAAAACTGGTCATTTAAAACTAATATCTCATTAGAGAGAAAAGTCCAATAGTACAACCTTAAGAAAGCTGTCTAAAAATACCTACTAAGTTTCTCCTTTGGGTATCTGGCTACAATAATTTACTATATATTAATTCTCATAGCCTATAGTCTACCACACTACTTAATTGAACAGAAATTACTTTTTAACCATTTTCAAAGATTTCAAAAAATATATAAGCCAAATGCCATATATAAAGATCTTCATACCGATGTTACTTATACCAAAGGGAGTGATTGTCTTAACAATACAAAGTGTTAAAAACAACAGGTAAATGGTTGAACAAATTATAAGACCAAAACAACTACATTTGAAAAAAACCCTAACGAAAACACAACAGCATACACACACAAATGTTAGGTGTAAAGAAGGAAACAGCACTACATATTGAACAGTCCTGAGTTTACATTAAAATCTGTATGCACAGACAGATACGTGATCACTCAAAACAAAAGCGCCTTCCAAAGATTTGTAAGAATGTTAACACTAGTTGATCATCCTTGGTAATCAATTCCAGATAATTTTATAAATTGTGTTATAATTTTCTGTATTTGACAATGTTCCTAATAAGTGCTCATTGTGTTTTGAATAAAGAAAAAAATGCTTTAGAAGAAATAGTTCACCCTTTACAGACATGGCTTTGAGTAAATGCTTCTTAAATGACTAATGATTATAATCTTAGGTTTTAAAGTTGGATGATACAAAGAAAGTTCGGTGTGTTTAAAAACTGAAAGCTGAGTGTGG